CTCAACCATCCCCGCCAACAAATTATCCTCATTTTACTTAATCTGGAGAGCATGGACTCCAAGATTTATCAGTGCCCTCTCTTATAGGCACAGTTAGTTCTTCTGTAAATCTAGGCTCTGACTCCTCTACCCATAGGGCTGCCAGATTTCAGTTCATATTTGCTTGTTCTGTTACTCAGGGAAAGCTGCCTATCAGTAATTTCCAAAAAATAGCCCTCTGCCATTAGCATCTTGTGCCCCAAGTCACTTAGCTTGATTCGAGGATTATTGTGCTGATAAGCATTGCCAAAGGCTCCTGTGAGGGATTTTTTGTTCCTTTGGGCTAGAAAGTACATCCTCATGGCAGGAACCTGAGTAATTCCAGATTTGGTGTCTCCCACTGAAACCAATTAACATTATAGGACTTTGCGTCCCAACTGCCTCCCCAGTGCTGATTTCAAACAGGAAAAAGAAGAGGAAGAAGGAGGAGGAAGAGAAGGAGGAAGAGGAAAATTCTGTAACAGCTTGCACTCGTAGGACTATGCTAGAGGAGTGATTTCAGCCTGGGTTCTCTGGAGTATGGTAGGAGAAAGGGCTATCTGTAAAGCTTTCTGTTTTAACAACTTTTGACCTAAGAATGTTTGAAACGAGGGGACATAAAAGCACTCTTTCTCCTTCATCCAGCTGCTGTTGTAAGATTAAAGAAAAAGAAAATACAGGCAGGTCACTTTCACTATCTGTTTCAGAGGTGTGAAAGACCAGAAAGTATATTATACTATTGGGAAGTCAGATATCCGTTCAGTGCCTGGTGTGTGTGTGTGTGTGTGTGTGTGTGTGTGTGTGTGTGAGAGAGAGAGAGAGAGAGAGAGAGAGAAAATACATGCACTTTTCTAAAAAAACATAGAAGACCAAAATTTGATACTGAGGCAAATCAAAGCATTGGTGATACCCTAGCCCAGGGATTGCCTACTGAAAATGCAAACTCTTCAAATTGAGCTACGTTGACAATCAACTTGACTTTCTTTCTCAGTGATCTTCAATTTCTCCCTATATCATTGGACAACTGTTAGAATCTCCCAAGTGGTGGAGAGAAGGGGTTAGGGGTGGGAAAGAAATACGAAAACAGAACTCTTTGTAAAAGAATTGCTGCTTCTTTACAATTTGTGAACATTCCAATGTCCTTCCCAAGGTTTCACAACTCATTCAGGGCACAAAGAAGCAGAAGATGGGATGACACAATATCATATTTTCAACTGAATTGCTTTGTTGTCCTTTTTGGCAGGAGGAGGAATATTTTTCTTGGGCTTGTTTGAATGGGTGCCCCTGGAGGCTTGTGTTCCAGACGTCCATGCTGAGCATACTTGATAGACAGATAGGCTCAGCTTTTGGCAACTGACCTACTATTTACCAAGGGTGACTCTGACAAATATAAATGGTTGGTTGAGTGAGCAGATATAAGCCAAATCCTCTCTGTCAAAAGATTAAAGGACATGGAGTTGCTGTAAGTGTGCCCTGCCTAACCAAATTGTTATATAAGTCTCTAGTAACTTAATAATCACACTCCAGGCAATTTCAGCTTTTAACTTATGATATCCTAATGAAAAAATGTATTCTTTCATAATATTTTCAATATAAAAATAACAAAAAAAGGCAGGAGACTTGAAACTTTCTCAGAATATCTGACCTTGGAAGATTTTAGAAGAAAATACTGTATGCATTGATAGCAGATGCTAATATTTGCCTTTGTTAATTCCAGCACAAATCTTTTGGCTTTTGTTCTATATGTCTGGGATTGTAGCCTATTTCTAATTAATTTATTTTAAAGTATAAAAATAATTAAACAAGAATAGCTAGAGACTTGTTTGTCATAATTGATTTTTTTTTCCAGAAATCACAAGTATAGCTTGAGTTTTTGCTTTAAAATATTCCTTCCACCCCCTTGTCACTTATTTCCCGGTGGCCTCAGCTGTTAAAAGGGGAAAAAAAAAGCTTACAAGTTGTTTCTGGGGCTGTGACATCCTATCTGGAAGGAGCTGTATGTGGCAGTGAGGCAGTAATGTGTGATTTCATTAGCGAATGCTAAAAGCACAGGCTGCCCTTTGGAAATGGATGTGAGATCAGGCCAATATAAAACAGTCCAAATTCACTATGTAGCTGCTGCTTGACTGAATACTAAACAGAAAAGCTGTTGCCTACAGTATTTAGCTCAGGTTCAAAAATGAGAAAAGAAACAAGAAAACAAATAACACTATAGCTCTATCAAAAGCTATTATTAATTAATGTACATCTTACAGTTTTTATGGTCCCTTTTTGAAGAGTTTAACTCAGGTTGTCTGTTTTTCCAAATAAAATAACTTGTAAAAAGTAGCTTATAATTATTAGATTGTGGAGGAACTTGGTTGAGTGCATAGTTCAGCGTCATAGTTCAATCTGTTAACAGAGACCGTATGTCTGTGAATTCAGAAGAGACATGATGGATCGATTGCTAAGTAGCCTGGAAACTTAGTTTTATTCTTATCTCACTTTTACATTTACTAGTTAGTGTTTAAAGGGTTATTTAAGGAATTTGACTCTATTGCCATTCATAAGCTGAGCAGGCTGCCACAGACAATTCCAAGTGGTGGGACATGACAGAAGGAGAATTTCACACCCTTTGCACGCACCCACAACTCATTGCCACTATATGCTACCACTTCATTCATATGTTCACAGACCTAGCAGCCCCAAACAGGATGTGGCTGATACTTTCTTATTTCCAAGAAAAATGGAGAGAGTCCTTAATGTCAGGAACCATGAGCATTGACAGTTCCATGTCTCCTGTTACGGGCTGTATGTAGAAAGGCTGTTTCAATGTCCCACCATTTTCTACCCCAGCTGGCACAAGCTAGTCAGCTCTAGATTGAAAACCTGGATGTATTTGTGTGTGTATGCATGCTGTTTCTTGAAATGGGTAATAGAAAAGTTTAACAATAAACATTAACCAGTTTCCTCTCCACACTTGTGAGAGGATGTTGCTTTCTTCCTACTCATGAAAGAAAGAAGAGTTTCCCGCAATGGGTTCTTATCTCCCAACTGAGGATAAAGATACCCCACATGCCACTTTCTCTCTTAAGTTCATGATTGTCCTAGGACAAACATTTACATTCTTTTAGTTTGCTCTGGACCTTACATTTTTCTATTATGTTTTCCTTGAAAGATTTCTTTGGCAGAGTATTTATAAAAGTTTGGGGTTTTTGTTTGTTTGTTTCCAACATTGTGTGGTTTATCTCTATGATATTTGGGGGCATTTGTACTTCTATGACTCTTTTTAAAACTTGAGATAGAGCTTATTTATGGTGGGGTAAGGAAGAGAAGAAAGTAATATAACTCATGTGGTGACTAGGGTGGTATTTATGGTATGACTTTAGAGAATTATAATTTCTCTTTTTCAAAGTAGACCAAAGTAGTGTTCCTCAGGGTCCCAGCACTCTTCAGGTTACCCAGGGACAGAGGTAAGAATCCATCCATTTATTGAGTCCGTGGCCAGTCACCTCAATCAACAAGAACTTGTTAAGAACATGCTGTAGGCTTAGAGTAGGGACCAGAAAAGCATAACGTATATACATAATATCCTATGAAATTTTGCCTCATGATCCTTGTTCTAGGGTTACAGGACAATTTCCTTGGAATATGAGATTTATATAAGAGACGCGAGTAAAGAATGGCACAAGCCATAGTTTGCAACCAAGTACTAACGTTTTGACCTGTGGATGATATATGCCATCGGTACTCAAAGGAAGGAAAGATGACAAAAGTAACTTCTCAGTATCTCAAGACAATAATATACTGACCTTTCCTGCATTTTACCTTTCTTCAAAACACTGTAATTTTATGATCAAATATTAGCAGCACATCTATTTTCTCTACTCAAATGTGATCTACTCTTGTGGTTATGCAATCATTGGCCATTGAAAATGGTAAAAAGCATCTTTACTGTGGTGGAAAATTGCTCTTGGTTTTGGAAACATTTCCAGACAGTAAGATTCAGACTTGGACAATGAGTGAGAGCTCTGTGGAGGTTTGAAAGACTCAGCCACAGACACACAACACTTTTTCTGCCTATTGGTGTTAGGGACAGATATATATAAGGGGGGAAGCAAAATCATTAGGTGAAAGGGCTGTCTTTCAACCACAAAATCTGGCAAGTTCTCTGAGAAAACTTGATAACTGCATGCTTTATATTTTACTTTAAAAATTCAAGGTGGAAAAATATGCTTTTAAATTTCACATTCTGTCCTGCACAGTTTATATGCCAAGCTATATTCCTTGATTATCAAAAGTACACATCAAGTGAAGTATATTCCTTCCCTTATTGAATTAACTTGACAACAAGGGAGCTATCGTTGGGACTTCTGAAAGACAGCTGAGAAGCAACCTTTTGACAAGTGTGGTTGGCCTTTGAGCTGTTTTTTTCTCTCTTCCTTCTCAGTTTTTTAGTGAGAAGGGACAATTTTATAGCAACTTGGCAAAACGATAGTGCAGGAAGTCCCAGCTGTTCTTGCCCCAGCTGTCTCTGAGATCTAATAATATAGGGTGGGAATAGCATATCTCCCTAAAGAGCACACACATTTTAAGTTGCTTTAATTTTGCTGCCAATTAGACTTTCAGGATGCCAAATGCATCTCCAGGCAACCTCTGTGGCAATTTCATATCCTTTGGTAAAGGAGCCTAAGGGAAAGGGTGATTTTAAAATGACAAAATAGCATGGAAAAATTTTACTCTTTCATTACCAAAGAAATATACATGTACTCATTTTTTCTTATGCAAACATGAAGAGACACAGGCATATTAACACTGATGGTAGTGAAGGATACTAAAGGGATTGGGAGTGAGAATTTTCATCCTAGAGCAGGGTTTCTCAGACTGAGCAATGGGACCAGGGCAATTGGGACCAGGTAATTCTTTGTTGTGGGACCTGTCTTTGTGCATCGTAAGATCTTCAACACCATTGCTGGCCTCTACTTATTGGATTCTACTAGCACCTTCCCCTCAATCATGACAGTAAAAAATGTCTCCAGACATTGCCAAATGCCCCACTTCCACCCCTAGGGGGGTTATAAAATTGCCCCTGGTTGGAAAACCACTGGCCTAGAGCTGCCACTGCAGCAAAGATCTTGTGATAGTGACTTACTTTTCCTTGAGCTCATTTTTTACAAGTTCAACAGATGATACCAAATACCCAGGCATCAGAGAAACATAAATATTTAATTATATGGCTTGTTTTCTGTTTAAACAAATATGACAAAGCTTATATATTTTTAGTGTCTGCTGACACCTGCATATTAGTCACCTTGAGGGATTTACTCATCTGTCCAAGTGATGCCGAAGCAATTTTAGGAATAATTTTAGTGGGAGGTAAGTCTTTATCTTTTCAAGGTGAATTGGTTTTTGAAACAACCTAAACTCATTCAGAGACAAGATTAGTAAAGAAGGTGGATGAGCAAAGCTTATGAATTCTGTTTGGAGTCAAAAATCAGAGTGGAACAATAATGAGATTGATTTTTCTTATGTGCCTCATGGACAGACACTGAAGTCAATTTCAATAGAAGAGTCATAAAAAGATTCTGAGTCATCCTGTCATCGATGGGATAAGTGAACAATCATCTCCATGGGTAGCAATTCTGAATTATGGCTCCCTTTCAGCTTTTAAGTTTTTGAGGTGTCAGTTATAAAAAATATCCCACAAATTTGGAGTCATAACTCATAAAATAATATAAGAGAAAATATTCTGGGTTCTTGAAAAAATGTTTTTCTTTAAATATATTTATTCTTATTTGTATTACTTGGATCACACAGTAGATATTTACAGAATGTTTACTGAGTGTGTGCAAGTGCCTGTGCTTCAGAATGATGAAGACATAGCCTCTGGACCTCAAGCTGGTTTCTCTAGAGAAGGAGAGACAAATTCATGAACAGTTTATTTCCACATAGTGTGGTAAGTTTTAAGAGAAATAGAAATCAGATGCTTACCTGGTTTCTCAACTCAGCACTGCCATATACTAACTATAATAACTGCGTAAGCTAGAAAAAGTCACTTAATTTCACCTGCCTTCCATTTCCTTATCTGTAAAGCAAAGCTGTCAACAAGCTTTGTCCCATCTTCTAGCATCATTACCCTGATTCTATGGTAACAATGACAGTTTCTATGGACATATGTGTCACAGTGTTTTGTAAAGGAAATCTGATCATATGATATCTAAATACTAACCATTAGTATTATCTGAATCATTACCATCTGGGAAGAGATATCCAACTAGATGTTCATGAACACCAACTATTGAGAGATCTGACTTGCGTCTGGTAATTCATTACTGAAGATTGATCATAAACCAAATGAATTACTCTTTCTTCTTCCTGGACTATGCAGGACTATTATGAGCTTCATGTGGCCTTGGTTGACCAGTTGTTGTTGTATCCTGGGAAAATAGCATGCAGTGGAAAGTAAAATAAAATGTCTACATTTAAAACTTAACTCATAAATCCTTTGCAATTTAAATTATTGCATTGTTGTAAACAACAAGAGTGACATCCACAAACCTAGGTTAAATTTGTTTGACTTTCAGGGTGTCAGTTTCTGACTTCAACATTCTCCATTATAAAATGAAGACATTGGCTTAGAAATAATAAATTTTTAATAACTATAATAAATATATGTGTTCTTATTTTAGTTTTCCTAAATATGAATGATGAAGATATTTTCATTTCCATTTTACATATGGAAAAAATGAGGCTTCACAAAGTAAACCCATGCACCTAGCCTCACACAGCACCTGTGGCAGAGCTGGGATTCAAACATATGTCTGTGATTTTAGAGTCCGCGCTGCTTTTTTTCACCCCCTACACATCACTCCACTTTTTGAGTTGTCTCTGATGAAGATCTGAAATTATATGACTCTTTTCACAGTAACTCAAAGCAGTAATATGAAAGCATCACATATTTTCTAACTCCAAAGTGAAAGAGAAGAAAATGTTTATATCTACTTCCAAGTTCAAGAATTCGAAATGACAAACACAAAAGTCCTGGCAGATGAGTAGTTTTCCACATGTGAAAATGGCTTCCAAGGATTATCACTGATTCTTATCCAGAATATTTCTAAATTCCCAAAGCTTTAGGGATAGAGGAAAGGGTAATCCAAATTTCAGGTTATCTCTTTTGGTCAGTGTACTAACCTGACATCTAACATGCACGTAAGCGTGGTGTTCTGTTGGTGGCTTGCCCAAAATGCAGTTGCTTCCATTTGTAGCTTTTAACTTTCCTTTATGAGATCCTTGATGATTCTAGACTTTGTATATTAAAATAGTGACAAGTAGTTCAATATTAAAACAGTAAATTAAGTGAAATATTCATTTTTACTATATTGCCTCTGTATCATGTAGATTGTTTTTAATGTTGTGAGTTGCAGAGCAATAGATTCACAGATTAACCGTTAGCCCTGAGATGCAGCTTCTAGCAGAGTATGGCAAAGCAGGCTCTCCATTCATTTGCTCATCTTTCTTCCATCCTGAGAGTGAGTGAAGTAGGTTTCTCTTATTCATTCCATTCGTCACCTTGTTCACATCTCCAGTGTGGTTTAAATGGCCCAGAGCATTCACTCTAGACACAGAGCTGGGCTTGTCCTGACTCAACCATTTATGATTCTGTGATCTTAGGCAAGTTCCACAAACTCTCTGAGCTCTCAGTTTCTCGTCTGTAAAATAAAGATAAAAATATACCTGTCTCAGGGCTATTGTGAAACATAAAGTAACAGTCATACAAGGTATTTAGCTCCGTGCCTGAGACGTGATGAGTGATTAATAAATGTTGGCTTTCATTATTATTATTAACAACATTTTTTGTAAGGACATTCAATGGCATTCTGTTAAAATCAAAGAGCAAATAATCTTAGAGAAGCTAATTTCCTAGGAAGTGATTTCATTATTGGAAATAATTAAGTTTACTTTAAATAGAACCCTATTGCCATATAGTTTATCCTAATGATTTGGAGTTTTCAGTAGACGTGGACACAAATAACAACTCCATACATCTGTTGTCAGATGTTATATGGCCATTACGACAGATATCTTGGGGTGTTGTGTTTCTCTAACACTAATGTTACAAATTTCTGTCATATTTATCATTATTTGGTCATAATTATTTTTAGAACTAAGCTTAAATCTGTTATGGTGATTCTGTACATTAGAGTTACCAGTTAGATGTTACCATTGTACCTACTTACTCAAGCTCACATAGTGGGCCTGGATCCCAATGTTATTGTGGTGTCAGGTCAGGTTGGAGAACACTGACTGACTACATGGTGAGCTACGTGAAGGCAGATAGTACCACCTCTTCAGTCTCGTATTCACTAAAAAGTTTCTAATGGCTCTTAAGTATTTTCTGAGTAGTTTTGGAGATAAGATATCATAGAACTTAATAAAAGAGAAATTGAGTTATATATTTCAAACAGAAAACAGTCTGGTATGTTTTAAGAAGTGAGAATTAATATCTAGCAAATGTATAATCAGCCTATGCCACCTGAAATTATGGCAATAAGAATTTTTTAATTGATAACAACATTTTTAAAATTTAACGTCTAGTATTTTTCTTACAGCTGTATTGCTTTATACCAAGGAGTGAAGATAAACCACAATTAGCAAATAGTTTCAATACCTGTCATTCAGGGAGCTGTTGACAGGTCAGGCTAGCTGGATAATGTTGACAAGGCACTATTCTGAGAAAAACATGTTATTGTCATTAGCCACATCTCCATTATTTAAATACATCAACCAACCCAGCAGATTCTGTCACAAGTAAGCATATGTCCATCTCAGGCCAAGCGTGTCTGCACACACATAGTTGTTATGATAAAACTGAGAATGGTTCATTGAGTTGCATCTAGGATCTCTCTCACGCTTGGTTACAATTCGGTGCTACTGGGGTAATTGTGCAGCTAATTCCAGCGGCTAATAGTGGGCCCCTGGGGTGTTTGAATACTCCACACCCCCATAAGGCACTTCCTGTTTGCTGTGCAGTTTACAACAGCCCTCTGGGAGGCACGGCCCAGTGAGCCTTTCCCGCTTTGGCCCCATCAGCAGAGAGATGGGAAGGGAGAAACCTGTCTCCCCTCTTTGGGGGTCACTTCACCAGGAAGTTTTGCTAAGTGTTCATAGGATGTGTTCCAGTAAATATTAAAAACAAAGTGTATGTTCAGTCATGATATTCTATAAACTGGATTATATGTAAACTGGATTAAAATGAGAGGCCATTTTCATTTTTTAAAATAGGGATCAGCATATTTTGGGAATTACCAATATCCCCAATAATAAAACATTTAATATTTGTATTAATTAAAGAGCAATGAATAAAATGATCCAAAAATCAGTAATAATAATAGCATCTGACAGTTGATTGTGCCTGTGCTCTTAGATCTGCACACACAAATTCACTTGCCCAAAGTCACCTTGCTAATTTTTACTTAGAATCAAAATTCTCCTGCAATTGTGCTATTTTTTCTTCTCCACTTACATGAAGCCAACTTTCAGTAATAGCATTCACCATTGTAGTAAATTTCTCAGGGACATCAAGATGCTCAGGGTGTTTTTTGTTGTTGTTGTTTTTTTGAAGAAGTAATTGGGTAGGAAAGATGAATGGCCTGTTTGTGCAAACAACCATTTTATATGAGTTAAAATTTAAGCCAAAGGAGGCCATTTGACATGTAAAGGAAAACGATAGATTTGTGGTAAAATAAATCATCCCTGATGTGTGATAAGCAGAAGTTATTTTCTTCTTCTCTTAATATCATCCTCATCTTTCCCAGACTTCAGCCTGACCAACACTCCCCTGTGCCCACTCTTCACAGAACCAGAATTACGTTACATGTATTTTTGTGACTAGGGCAGCTTGGATGAAGTAGAAGACATCATTTGGTGAATGAGGGCGATGCAAATATGTTTATTTCTTTTAAATGTATACAGCTGATGTCAAAGCAATGACAGAAAAATCCCTAGGTATAGTGTTCAGCTCCCCCAGCTGATATTGAGGTCCCCTCTAGGAATAACAGGGAAAGGACTTAGATAAAGCATACCAGGACATTGATGGTCATGGCAGCTGAGTTCACAAGAAGAGTGGGCCTTAGGTTCAAGCAATGCATGGAGGTTAGATTATGATGTTATGGTTATTATTTCAGACAAGTGCCTTATTGCCTGGAAAGATAATTATGCAAGCTGAAAAGTGTTCTAGAGTGCATCATCCTCATTCTGGCTGGAAAAGTGTTGTTTTAGGTGGCTTATGGTTCTTTGTAGTTCTATGCATTTTAAAATATCATCTCTAAAGACAGAAGAATCATTTGCATCAGATTATCCAGATGTCAGATTAGGAGCAGTAATATGTAGAGCTCCATAGTATTTTCTGTCTGTCATAGAGCTAAGAAACTATGTGCTTCCATACTCTTGGTAGACTGAAGCCTGGTATCAGGCCAGCATTAGAGAAGGAAAGGAATGGTGGTACACTGAGGTTGATCTTGGAATAAATTCAAACACAGTTGGGGTATCAGAAGCTTGATGTGCATCTGTATTTTGATGGGAATTTTTTATTTAGTCATAGGGAACTGCATGTACCTGGAGGTAAGAGAAAACACACAGCGCTTTAGGGGAAACTGAAAGTGGTTCTGTGTGCTGTAACATAGCATTTGGGAGTAGAGCAAGAGATTAGTCTAGAGGAAGAAAAATGGTACATATTATGAAGGGCCTTCCTTGTATTTCATGCTAAGAAATCTGAGAGCTTTCCTGAGAAGAGTGAAAACTAATTAAAGGGTTTTGTGCAGGAAAGTAATATGATTAGATTTGGATTTAGACAAACCACTCTCTGTGCAGTAGAGGGAATGAGTTTGAGTGAGACAATACTACAGGGAGGGAAACCAGAAAGGAGTTACCAGACCAAAATTTCCAATGTAGGGTCTTTATCTTTGCTCCCCAGAATCTGGGTACATAATAGGTAGTCAATATGTTTGTTATTGCTTGAGACTATGGTAAGTAATTTAGATAGCATGTGACTATCAACTAAATCGAGGTGTGGAAATTAAATTAAAACAAATGGACAAAGATTCTAAATATATCAATGAGGTAGAATCTACAGGAGTTTGACAATTGACTTGTTGTAGGGAGCAGTGAGGGAAAAAGGAGTCACAATAAGAACAGATTTCTAGCTCAGGTCATTTGTAATGCCATTCACTGAGTTCCAAAACAGTGGATGTAGAGCAGGTTGAGGGAGGGAAGATGACCGCTTGCTTCGAATATGTAGACTCTGAGAGGTTTGCAGGACATTCACGTCCTGATGATCATAAGCCATCCTGAATAGAGTCGTCTAATTTGCTAAGGACCAGAGAGTGTGGTCTGAGCTACAAAAGTAGTTTGAGGGGTTGCCACTCAGATGGAGATTAAAGCTATGGGAGTGATGGGATCATCCAGAGAGGAAATGAGAATCCAGAAACAAGTGGGCGGAACTCTGACAACCATTAACATTTTAGGCTTGGGCAGAAGAACAGTAATTGCAGAAAAACCATGAAGGGGTCAAAGGTTGGAGGAAAATAGGAAAAGGGTGGAAGGAGTATGGATTCTTAGAAGCCAGAGGAAAATATTACAAGAAAAAGGGGAACATATTCTAGATACTGAAGACATAAAGACAAAAGAAACATAGTTTTTCTCTGGAGAAGTTCAAATTCTAGTGAGGGAAAAGACAACTAAGTAGATAATTCAGAGCCATTAATATTCACAGTAGAGAAATAAGGTATTACTGGAGTTCATACAAAAAGTCTTTATCAATCTCTTCACTCCTAAGTCTTCAACTAGAACAAACTCAGAAGTAGAAGAATCCTGAACTATTGCTTACCCCGTGAGTGGCTTCATAACACAGCATTAAGTCTACATTTTACCTGATAATTTGTTTATTATCTGTCTCCCTTCAATAAAGTTGAAACTCCACAAAGGCACAGACTTTTTTCTCTTTTGCTCACTCTGTGCTTCCAGTGCCTAGAACAATTCCTGACATATAGTAGATGCTCAATAAATATTTGTTGAATGAACAAAATGCCAGTCATACATTTAGACCAGGTGTATACTGACCTCAGGCCATATCCTAGAAAATCCTACTTATGTAAATAACTCCTCATATGAAAATCTTAAAGAGCGAGATTTTCACTAAGGAATTTGCCCTTCAAATAAGTCCAACTCTGGGAAGTATTCTACAGCCAGTGATGACATAATGGGCCTTTCTTCTCATTAACTCCACTCATTTAGAACTCTTCTAGAAAATTACCTGAAACTTAAAAAAATAAAACAAAAACAAAACAAAACAAAACAAAAAGCTCAGCTCCAAGAAAATACTTTTTAAAAAAACCATTTGTGCTGTTTTAAGTTCCCTGTAAAAACCATTTTTCAGCTGTCAAGAGTTGTTCAGATGCATGCTTGTTTTTACTTGGATAACTCAAAGACTGCTGGATCTTAAAAATTTCAGACTCTACTAGTGCAAAATTCTGAATAGAGAAAGGTAGTTTATGTAACAGTTTGCTACCATTATCCTAACCAAGTACATTAAGAAAAACATGCAGAGATACAAGGCTGGGCTAATCATTATTCATTCATTTTCCAAGCACCTGTTTTTTTGCCAGAATTTGCTAATTAATTTAAAGTTAAATAAGATATTGTCCTTGCCCTCATGAACCCAGGAATTTCCAGAAAAACTTCATGGATAAAGTGAGTTTTAATCTGAGAATTAAAATCTGTAGAAATTTGCCAGGTGTATCTGGGAAAAATGAACTTTTGAAACAGAAGGAATACTATATGCAAGTCACAGGAGGTATGAAATAGGCAAAGATGTTCATGTGCAAGATGCATAAGGTGTTTAATGGGTCTTGAACCTAAGTTCATTTGAGGGAGAGCCAGATGAAGAATAAAGAGGTTTTTAAGAGAGGTCATATGATGGGGTCTCTTGCATGCTGAGTTTCAACTGATAAAGGAGATATCATTGTTTATTATTTCAAATATGTATTTTCATGGGAAGAATGTATCTGTAGCTACATTCCATACTGAGATAAGTTTTAGTTAAATTCATTCATTAGAATTCTCAACAGCTGTCCATTGTTAATTAGAGGCCATGTCCGGCTTGGTTAGCCCACTTAACACCATGGTAGACAAATAACATCAAAAGGACCTATTTCTGAAATGAAATAGTCAATGTGAAACTTAATAGTCACATGCCAGATATTGCAATTATTTTACTTTTCCCCAAAAAAATGTTTTCTTAAAAAAATAAATGGCACATTCTCACATATTAAGATTAAGTATGAAAGGTCTAATTTCCTTAAATACTAAGTTTGACAGTTGATATCTCTGACATTTCACTTTGACACTTCCTGTTTTATTTTTATTGTGAAGGTACATCTTCATTCTTTCAAATGCACAATTTGACTTGTGATTATCTTTCATGTTTTTTAAAGCAATTTTTGTGAATCATGGATAAGTCAAAAATTCATGTTATTTTTTAATCTACATTCTATCATGGACCCAATGCTGCACAGACAGCTTGAAATATCAATGAAGTGTTTGGGAAGGATGTGGCTAATGAACACACAGAACATTGATGGTTTGAGAAGTTCCCTTCTAGTGATTTTAATATTGAAAATGAGCCTTGTGGGTGACCTGAGATCAAGGTGGATAATGATGAGCTGAAAACTGTAATGGAAGTGAATCCATCTCAGCCTGTGCATGAATTAGCAGCAAGGTTTGACGTTATTACTCCAGCAATATTGGACCATTTGAAACAAATGGGCAAGGTAAAGAAGCTGGATAGATGAGTACCACATGAATTAAACAAAGGTCAGAAGATAAATTGTCTTGAAGCTTGCCTTTCTTTGCTATCACAACATAAAGGCAAACTATTTCTACACTGTAATGTTACCTGTTACCTGTGATGAAAAATGGATGCTTTGTGACAATTACAAGCATTCAGCACAGTAGCTGGATGAAGACAAAGTGCTAAAACACAATCCAAAAATGAATATTCATCAAAAAAAGCTAGTGGTGTCTGCTTGGTGGTCCTGCACTGGTATTAACCACTATAGTTTCATGAAGCATGGTCAATCGATTACAGCAGATGTCTACTGCAACCAAATGGACAAAATGATGAGGATGCTTATGATGAAGCAGCCAACAGTGGTCAATAGAAACAGGCCAATCCTCTTGCAAGACAACACTCAACCACATGTTGCACAAACAATGCTACTCAAATGACAGAGGCTGGACTTGGAAACCCTCTGTCATCCAACGTGTTCACCAGACTTCCATTAACTGATTACCACTACTTCCAGGTTTTAGACCACTTCTTTCAAGGAAAAATATTCAATTCTCAAGAAGATGTGGAAAACACCTTTCATGATTTCATTGCCACTTACTCTCCAAGCTTCTTCGCTGCTGGCATAAACAAGCTACTGTTAAGATGACAAAATTGTTGATTGTTTAGGTGCATACTTTGATTAATTGTACTGCTTCTTGTTTGAGATATAATAAACTAAACTTTTGATTCAAAATCCGGCATTTCATATTTACTGACCTAATATTTCAAAGTGGAAAAAAATTAAGCGTGGAATTGATGAATATGAAGTAACTTAAAAATAATATAAGCTAGACTTAGCATCTTAAGACCAAGATCTGTTTGGTCCTTGAAGTGCAACAGGCAGTAGTATTATCATTAACAGTGCTTATGCACTGAATGAATGAATAAGCAATCTACTACTCTGGCACCAGTGTGAGGCATAAAATTTGAGAACTGGGAGAGATCTTAATCACTTTCCTTCATTTTAAAGATATAAAAACTGAAGGCCACCAGCCAAGGAGCAGTTTAGCGAACTTGGACCCAAATTCTAGGGCTTTGAGCTCTCAGCCCAGTGGATCCTTTCTGCTATCTGTCATCTTTTATGACTCTGTTACCATTTGAAGTACCCTTGTTCTACTATAAGCCCAAAGTGGGGAGAGAGGTGAGAGCCCTATATTCACTCCTTGTAAGCATTGTACTCTACCATGTGCTCAGACCCTGTGCCAGGTCTGGGAATGAAATGATGGACAAAAGGAAACAGGATACATACTAGCCTGAATCTCCCACTCCAATGGGAATAGACATTATTGTGAAACTAATGAAGTCACATTGATGTGAAATGACAAGCTGTGGAGAGAGGTAAGTGGGGAAGTTTTGTGGTCCAATGAAAGCACAGAGGAGAAAGACCTAGTGAGTCAGGGTATCTTCTACCTTTATTGTTTATTTTTTAAAAAATCTAAGAAATCCAAAGATTAGAGCAAGTTTGCCTTTAAAAAAGTATCTGCACTCAGGATTTGGAGTCTCTTTGATAATTTACGAAACATATCATCACCAAATTTAACGCTTTTTCCAGTCCTTGCCACAAACAATAAGTTATGGCTTGGTGATTTTTGCCAACTATAATACCAGAAATCAACTTTTTTTGTAGAGTTTTCACTGAAGCTGGTGGTAAAGGCATACAATTATCAAAACAAGGTAAGAAGTATGCTTATGTTACCAGTCTCAGATTCCACAAACAAAAAAAAAAAACAAACAACAAAGACCCAAAAAGAAATTTAACAAATAAGAGACTTTGTTTGTGCAATGTATTTATCAGACTTTAAGAAATAATTTTCTGGGGAAAATAATTTTGTCTATAATTACTCTACTTCACAGAGCTCTTTTGGACTTTTCTCACACTAAGTGTTCTAGGGTGGGTGCCCAGGAAAATTTTTTTTGACTTTTTCTTTGGACAGAATTGAACCTGATTTTTCTGATTCATATTTTATCTTCAGATCACTCTAGTGTATTCCTTTAAGCATGATTAAAGAAAGATGAAATTTATATGTAATTACTCAATTCTCCAAAGCCTTGAAAGAGTCTTTCCAATGAAATACATCTATACTCTAAGAAGAAAGAATTCCATGAAAATTTATAGTATCCTCTGTATCATAGAGATAGGATCTAATATCCTAAAAGTATTTCCCCTATTCTTATAGCTTCAGATGGACAAGAAGGAAAAATTGGACAAAAAGAGCAAGTGAAGAGAAAGAAAGTCAAAGAGGGATGGGAAGTGTAGTAGATATGGGGTCAGATGGTGAAAATTGTAGCAAGCTTCTGCTACACTCTCAGTCACTTCCTTATGAGTTCTACTGTAGGTCTTGCTTAAATCAAATGTGCTTTATTCATTTTCAATGAGAAAACAGAGAGAAGTGACTAAAAGCATAAAAGAATTGAATCCTTAAAGAGAGGATAAAGGAAGAGAGCCTAAACCAGGTTTAGGATATTTCTGGTGCCATGATTTCTAGGATTCTCACTGTGGAAATGACCTTGAGTATTTTACAGCAAGGGTAGCCAAACAGCATCTTGCAAAACTGCACACTGAGCTGCAAAATTTTGATCAATGTATAGAATTTATTTAGGCTTTGTTTTGAAAATAAAGAAAGCAGAATGTCCCTGATGTTTACTACTAATCTACATGAAGAAGACTAGATATAGCAGATAGCCTAGAGGAGAATGATTGGCTTTTCAAGCTCCTTGATACTTTAAAGTTAAAAATGTTTTATATGGAACAGCTAAAAATCTCACATGAGAGAGAGCTGTGTGTGTGTTATAGTGTCCTGTGACACAAGAGACAGTGGAAACTTCCAGCATCATAGCTATCAGTGGGGTCTTTATCAACTTAAACATTTTGTAGTCATCCATAGATATTAGCCCAGATGAGCAGATTGAACACAGTAATTGAGCACAGTGAAGAGCTGCCTATAGTTTTCTTCAACAAAATGTTGCAGAAGCACTAAGGGAAAAACCCTGCATGTTTACTGGGACATTCCAGAACTTTGCCTTGGGAGTTTATGGGTACAGTTATGTCAGAAAGCAGAGTAACCACAGTGCTAAAGGACAACCAAGGGACTACTGCTCTGTAACTATAGGATGATTTATAGATACTGTGATGCATTTGATTGTGTTGTAATAATTAATGACTAAGTTATTGGAGTCTATAAATCTCAAGTATGCAGAAAAAAATTCTAGCATTCTGATGTGTTATTTAAACCTCCAAAGTACAAGAACCACTGCTTTAAAGTCTTGGGCCATTTCACTTGGGGAAAAGGTGGGATGCTTTGGCAACCCCTTGCCTCCACTCCACATCCTGCATGAAGTGGGATGTTCTCTAGTTGCTACAGTTTAAAGGAGCATTGATTTCTCAGTAATAATTTCCTTTTAACACAATCTGGGGAAGAATTTAGCAAAACGGAAGTCTGAATAACTTCATACTCTTTTCCCAACAAGAGTAATTGACTGTCTCAGAATGTGAGAGAAGTTATTCCCCCAAGAGTAACAGCCCTCCTTAGGAGCTGTTTGATGATCATATGGCATTTTTCATCCTCACATAACACTTGAACTTCGGATTATTTCTTTCTTCCTAAAGCAATGTTTAGCATCCTAACAGCCTCTAATGAGCCCATCCAACCTTTTAAAAAATAAATCTTGCTTTGGAAACAACAGAAAAAAACATGAAAGCAATTTTCTGACCACTTAAACAACTACTGTCTAAGAACTGGTGTCTTTGTGTTGTATATGGTTGCATATACAGAACTGGTAACATTTAGATGGCTGAAATCTTTCTAATGCTTTCCACTAACAGTAATTATTTGTTGATGGATATTGGTAATAAATCATAAAAAGATGAATAAACCACATTATGATCATCTACAAATTTTAAATTATATGTTTCAGATCCTACTACTGGATAATTGGAGCAGCTACTTGGGTGTGTGATTATTATTTGATCTTGTTAGACCCTACTACTTCTCATCACTCTTGGCAGACTTTCTAGAGCTCAGTACTGTATTTCTATATTTTCTCTGAAAGAAATGGCTTGTTCTCATTCCAAGGCAGTTTGAAATTCTTTCTCCTTTGCTAGGTATTCATGGATTAACCATAGGTATTGTTCCCCGACAAGATCAAGACCCAATCTTAGTAAGCCTGCATTATTGAAACTGCCAGGCACCCAATGTAGTGAACATCACATCTGGCCCAATGCTCTTGAGATCTAAAACAAAACAAAACAAAACAAAAAATCTCAGTAAATTACTCTATGTGTAAGTCATCATTTTATGTGATGATAATGAAATTTTCTGGGGGGAAAAAGTCTGTTTCTAAAGTTGGAAGACCTTTTATTATTATATTTGCAAAAGTCACTTTGTCTCATTAATTAAGTAAGCTAGAATATTCCATATTTACACTACAAAAAGTTACCAGGAGTTGCTGAAATTTATTTCTGGTTCCCCTCAGGAACTCATAATCCTCTTCTCATTTTCGTGACATTCGATTTAAAGATACAAAAG